GGAATAGACCAATAATTATCATGTTAAGTCCAATGGTGTCCTTGGACTTTAAATGGGATTTCCTATTGGTCGATATCTGTTCACTTGTACAAAATGTTGTTTTCTATTTTTATGGTACGCTGTGGTATGCTTGACTGGTATATAAACAAAGTATGTTTGAAATATAGTGATTCATATCTCAGAGGTTGTGACTTGTCTTCTGGACTCAACTAACTGGGCTAGACAGGGAAGCAGAACCAGTCAGACCCCTAGGTCGTCCTACGTGTTTATGCGTCTTTGGTCCGATCAACAATTCTCTCCCCCTTAATCTGCAGAATTATTTTTCACAGTTATAACAATTGGCGACGGGGTGGAGAAAAATTTTGAACCTTGTAATTGGACGCGATTCAGGCTAATTGTTTCGACCAATCAGCATCCAGATTGTCACCAGCGTCCTTGAGCAACATTGGACATTATTCCTACAGTTAATTTTCATTGCTGGTGCTGAAAAAAATGACTACCTGTTCCGATCAATTACAGCTTCTACTTGAGCAACAACAGCAGTGCTTCAAAAATAGCCAGTTGAATTTTTTAGAAAATTTACGCACACTGTTGGTAAATTTTCCATGTTTCGGAAATGCAACAGAAGTTGGTAATTTCATTTCTCATCTGAAGACTGAGCTGGAAAACAACTGCAGAACATATGAAGCTGCCTATAAAAGCCTCTGTGAATCCCGGACGACCAGTGATGTAAACGAGACAATCATTCATGATCCGCCCAGTTGTTCAGAAATATCAAATTCAGAAACATTCCCTGTTGTGGGTTCAAATCCCACTGTGCCTGAAAGATGTGAGGTATCCAGCTTACAAGAAGAACCTCTCGTGTCAGAAAATGTTTCCCGTGCATCAAATAATGGTCAGAAATCTAATACGAATTTCGAAGATGCTGTTTGTTTTAGTGACCTATTATCCAGTGATAGAATTTTGAAGAGGTCTGAAGAATATGTTGCACAAGAATCAAACCTTAATGACCTCATGTCTGGTGTCGCTAATCCTCATCATCTAGTCAGTCTTAGTGAACCCTCTACTCAATGCGCGAAATATGCTTTAATTCGAATCAGACTAACTGTTGCTTGGGTATATGAGGACCCAACGTTATTTCGTGGGGGAGGATGAACCCAGAAAATTTCAAAATCCGGATATCGACTCCGGATCTTCAAAAAAAAAGGGGAGGTGTTGTGGATGCGCAGGAATAGACCAATAATTATCATGTTAAGTCCAATGGTGTCCTTGGACTTTAAATGGGATTTCCTATTGGTCGATATCTGTTCACTTGTACAAAATGTTGTTTTCTATTTTTATGGTACGTTGTGGTATGCTTGACTGGTATATAAACAAAGTATGTTTGAAATATAGTGATTCATATCTCAGAGGTTGTGACTTGTCTTCTGGACTCAACTAACTGGGCTAGACAGGGAAGCAGAACCAGTCAGACCCCTAGGTCGTCCTACGTGTTTATGCGTCTTTGGTCCGATCAACAATTCTCTCCCCCTTAATCTGCAGAATTATTTTTCACAGTTATAACATGTCACAACGGCTATGTCTATGCCACCCACACAGAATGCATAAATCCTAACCAAGACTGATCAAATTTCAGTCGAAATAGTTACAACGGGACAAACCTATCAATTTCAAGTTAGACTTGTGTAAGTACACGAATTTTTCGTATTTCTAACACGAATTACAGGTGTTTAAACCGTCTGTCGAGATTAAGAGTTACTATCCTAAGTATTCTAATTATTCTGACCAACAGAGATTGGCTTAACACAATTGTTTTATCATTTGACCTAAATATAAGCAGTGAATAATATTTTGTTTTTAAAAATGTACCAACTCTAGTTTCCTGAATTCCTTACATGATCGGATTCCAATAAACAATTTTTATTTGAAGATTTTGTCAGTCATTTATCCCAGTGGGAATTATTACTGATTTGTACAGTTTTTTCTTAGTGTTTTCATATTCCAAAATATAGATTTTTAGCTGTCATCCTTCATGAAAATCACTTGAGGTTGTCAATAATAACAGTTCAACATCAAAATACTCATAAAGTATTTAGTATATTCTAAAGCCTACTAAGTCTTTATAAGGAAATAATTGTTTTTATGAAATAAAAACACTTAAACAAGAGAAAGTTGGTCCAAAGGTTACTCATTTGCATTCCATAGAAGTGAAAATAACCAACTATTTGCCGTTAAGAACAGTAAATGATCATAATATGTGGGCGTATACATCCATTACATTTTTTATTTATTTTGTTTTGTTGATGGACATATAAGATCTCTAAATATTGGTAACGGTCTTTGGAGTATCTAAAAGATTAGTATGCTTGTATCTTTAGTGTTCTCATTGGTATCAAGTTAATCATTTTGTCTCTTGGACACTAGAATATTTTGTAAAAAAGCAGAGGAAAGTTATTAAGTTCACAATCTTATCTCGATTGGACATTTGCAGCTCATATTAATTTGATTTTAATATACAAACAAGACGTCAACATTTTCATCAAATTATATGTTAATTTTAGCGAATCTACATCTTCACTTAAAAACGGTGAAAATAATTTAAAATAGATATTTATATCATATTATGTAATGATGTGAAAACTCTTAGACTACTTATAAGTAGCTTAACTCCGAACGATCAATTATTCAAGCAGTTTAGAATGGAAGTCTTGTGATGATTTCTGTAGTATAGTACATACCTCATAACCATATTCTAACACGTGTGAGGATTTCACTCTCAAATATGGCATATTTAATGAGACCTTTTTTGTTTGCTAACATTGAATTACTACTCACAATTGTTATTATAACTGTCCTAACTTCTTGCTAATTTTTATTTGTAGATGATTTTGCTGTGTTTAATGATACCTATTTATCTGGTTAATACAAAACAGATGCCCACATTTCATGCATTTAACTATCTTAAATACTGAGCTAAAATTCAAAAATACATCCATCGGATCCAAAAAGCTATCGTTCACCTAGGTTTGGACTAAAATAGCTGAAGATTTAACGATAACTTATTTCAGTATCACACTCGAAATTATTATAACGAATTCAAAAACAGAAATCGAGTCTCAGCCGACAGCTTCCTGAGAATGGCTCAATTAAATGGTGTCAAGTAATCGTTAAGGCAGGGATAGACACCAACTATTGATAGTCTTCATCTACGCTTGAATCAATTGTAATTTAGAGGAAAGGGAGGACTTCCAATCTCCTCTAAACACTGAAATATGTTTGTTGTAGCATGCTGGTAGGTTACACTAAACAAGAGTAAGTTCAATTGGTGTTTTAGGAATTCCAAAAACCAGTATACATAGTTGTTGGTGACTATCTATACTAAGCCTGTTACCCCTCACGTAGGAGCATGAGTCGCTCACTAGCATTCGCCAACTCTATTCTGGGCAATCTTTTCCAGTTACTGTTCATCCTTTCCAAGTCTGCCTCCAATTCTTAGTGCAGTGTGTCCTTTGGTCTTCCTCTTTTCCGTTACCCTTCAGGATTCTAAGCTAGTGCTTGCTTCATAATGCAGTTTGATGATTTCTGAAATGTATGTCCTATCCACTTCCATAGTCTTTTCTTGAATTCCTGTTCAGATGAAAGTTCGTTTGTTCACTCCCACAGTAGTTTGTTGCTGATGATATTCAGTCAACGGGTATTGAGTATCTTGTAGACAATTGTTTATGAATGCTTACTTACGCCTGATACTGCTCGTCGAAGAGCATAGGCCGCCCATAAGCACTCTCCATCCAACCCTGTCCTGAACAATCCGTTCCAGCTCTTCCCAGATGTTATTCATCCTTTTCATATCTGCTTCGATTTCCCGACGTAATGTGTTCTTTGGCCTTCCTCTTTTCCGCTTCCCTTCAGGATTCCAAGTTAGGGCCTGCCTCGTGATGCAGTTTGATGATTTGCGTAATGTATGTCCTATCCATTTCCATCGTCTTTTCATAATTTCCTCTTCAGCTGTAAGCTGGTTTGTTCTCTCCCACGGTAGGTTGTTGTTGATGGTATCCGGTCAATGGATGTTGAGTATCTTGCGTAGACAGCTATTTATAAATACTTGTACCTTTTTGATGATGGTTGTAGTAATTTTCCACGTTTCAGCTTCGTACAGTAGAACTATCTTAATGTTCGTATTGAAGGTTCTGACTTCGATATTGGTTGAGTTGTTTTGAGTTCCATATGTTCTCCAGTTGTAAGACTGTGGCCCTTGCTTTGCCAATCCTCGCCTTCACGTCTGTATCCGACCCTCCTTGTTCATTGATGATATTGTTCAGGTACGAAAAAGCTTCCCCCTCTTCCAAACTCAGCCCTAGTAGACGGTTATTTTTTACCTTCACGAACAGTCTTAGTTAACTATATCAGAGAAATTGAAAGGCTCGTAAGTGCTTAAGGTTACCTAACGGACCAAAGAAGAAATTCGATAAACTTTATTTGAAAGCTCTTGATAGCGATTCTTACTGGCTTTTATCTACGAACTGGAATTCAAATTGTTTAAATTGGAAACTCTTGACCTACCAACAAGTTGAAATAAAACGTACTAACAAATGACCGGAATGTTATAATGTGGAGAGTTGAATTCAATCCGCTTACACAAGTTGTTATGAACTGTACAACAGACAGTCCATCCAATATGAATACATTTCACTTTTTTTCTACTTGAATAAGTCACTGACAATATTCGTTTCACAACAGTTCAAAATATGTAAAACATTCTATTTAGGTATATCTTACGAATGGAAAAGTTTGTAACTCGTTTTCACTCAACGATTTTCTAAATCTATACAGATTAAGTTACACATACTAGATAAGAAAAGAAAAATGAACAAACGAAAAATTGATCATCTATTTTTCTTCCTCAAGAGATTTACAAAAGATCATTGATTGTTTGAGATATATTATAAAATGTTACTAGTAAATAAAACATATACACAGAAAATCAATACGAAGTATATAACTTAACAAACTCCATTTCGATCATCATTATTATTACTGTTATTATTAACAATACTGTCATTTTCAATAACAATGGTTGAATCTTCATCAATCTCAGGTTTAACAGAAATCGGTTCTGAAATAACAGTGTCGTCAATAGTATTATCCAATGAATTGGACTTTTGTTCAGATGACATGATAATGTCATTGCTTTCATCAAGTGAAGCTTCTTGACTGTTATTGTTTTCTGTATCCACATGAGATGTTTTTTGAGAGCACATGTCATCTATAAATAATACCGAAAATGTATTTCTGTTTATCATTATTTCAATAAAAGTACGATGATAATATATGTTAAACTAATAAAAAAATATTCCATAACTTCGTGACTCTACAGTCGCGAAGTGAAACCACTCTTAAGTCTGAGGTCACAACTTATTTAAGTTACAAAATAACCATATAGTATAACGAGGGGGTAAGTAATTTTCTAGGGTAAAATAAAAATCTTGACACAACTGATCACTTTCGAAAAGGTTGGTTAGTAAAACGTAATGCATTTGAGTGACACATTTCCGAAAATTTGATCAAACATACTTGCAGAAGCATTTTTGTTTGAAAACTAAGGTAAGTCAAATAAATATTGTTGTGACTTTTACCCGGTTAAATATCACATGATTTGCTCGCCAATCAGAATATGACTTATACAATCTTAACATTAAGCCAAACCAATAACGTGTCGACTGGTATGAACAGCCTAGCGTCCTTATTGGTCCTTTTCCCTGCCTAGCTCTGCCAGTCGAGACCAGAACACCAATACCAGCTCCTATTATACGAATCATTAATTCCAAACATACCTGGTTTATATACAAACCAAATAGGCCACATCGCACCACAAAATAGATCAAGTCGAAAAGTGGTTGCGATTGTGGGAGACTAATTAATAAACTGGGCATAAATTGAGAACAGTAAATCATATAATAATAGCCTATGTCAAAATAAAGCTTATAATAAGAGGAATATGAACATACATAATCTAGTTACTCAATAGTTATACAATAAGAATATATGTATAATATTAGTCCATAAACAGATCTCGGAAGTTATCTACAATTTAATCCTCACTAGGATATAACAACTATAAAGAGATAAGTGAGAATGTAGGAGAGATAGAAAGCATAAAAACGTTGTTACGTCAGCTCTGGAGTTAAAATAGCTTAAAACATCTGAACTTTCTTCAGTACATATTTATAGACAATATTTCTTTACTCGTATTAGAATTGATAATATTGTCGAATTAGGATCATTGTACTTGAATACGATATTTACTTATAACAAATTCTAGAAAACCACGTCTCATAATTCGAATTTTCTTTTCGTTCCTTCAGATACTATAATATAGCTAACTAATTAACAGCTGCACGCTTGTTAAACAGGTTCATTGTATACCATATGTTCGGAGGCATTGTGTTCTCTGACGTGGTTAGTTTAATCCAGTCCAAGGAATACAGTACGTCCAATATCGTTCTGAGCTACGAAAAATTCTCCATCAGCCTTGATGATGTGCGCTTCTCCAATGCCTTTAGCTGAATAAGAGGAACCAGACAAATTTTTCAGGAGAGAAAGCGCTATATTGGGACAATCAAAAATCGGCCAGATTATAAGTGGACGCGATTGGCCGAGAAACTGGATACATTTCCTGGGAATGAGACATGACATTGGAGTATACACACATGCCAGTTTGGTTAGTCAATAAATTTCCTTTTTCACTCTCACTATTCTCAATCGAGTAGTCGGTCGGGCTGATGTATAGGAAGATTGGGTATCAATATCACATTTTGGGGTATCGTACGTTATAACAAATAAGAACTTTCGTCTAAATTTGAACGAATAGTTTCACAATATTTGGGGGCCGAGTTAATTTGAGACAACAAAATTATCGAATATTCGATCATTTTGTTGTTTGATTATATTTTCCTTGAAAAAGCTTGGACCAGATTGCCAGGCGAAACGTTGGATTTACTTAAAATTCATTCGCTGAGATTTTACAAATATATTCTTCTTTTTAATGTACGTTATAACACTTTATTTTAGTTAGTAAAATGTTTTCAGGAATAAAACTTGAAGCACTCGGTAATAACGTTTGATGACGGCAGAATTAACCGAAGCATGAATCTGAGGGTTGAATCAGCATCGGTTGATAGTATCACTGGACTGTTAAAGCAAATAACTCTACAACATAGCACTGAACTTTTATAGGTAAAATAAAAATATGGTACCAACTAAATGATCATAAGTGCAAGAACGATTAAAAAATGGACTTATCCTTGGATAATAATTATATATATAATTACCTTTTTTAACACGTACAGATTCGTGTACCATACTTTATATGTGATAGCTACTGATACACACAAGTTTCTTAACCATTAAGCCATTACTTGACAATTTATATAATAACATACAAAATATAAATCAACAACAAGAAGTACAGTGAAAGCATCAACAAAAGAGAAAAATAGAAACTTTATGTGCGGCTCTCATGTTAAATCCGAACATAACTAAGGAAAGACTAAGAAACATAACATTGGTTACTACTTAGTAACTAACTAATGTAAACGCATTAAATCTACAGATCATTGTTAGTTCATATGGTAATATCTATGACTGTAGCAAGGATTTTAGAGTTCTAGAGAAACACCGGTTTTCTTCGAAATCGTAAATACGACTCGTTGATAGGTCCCAAGCCAGTAGTCTTCTGTGGATTGTCTCTAACCATTTAAAACTTAAACACGCTGTCAAAACCATAATTCACAATAGTAATAATATGATTATTCGATAACGGTCTTTACCTGTAACCGATAGAATTGTATCTTGTGATGTTTCGGTTGGACCTTGGTCTTCATTTTTCAGATTCGTAAGTTTATCTGAATTTGTATCCACTGAACCTTTAGAATTATCTTGTTCAGGTTGCTGGCATGAATACGATGAAAGAATACCAGAAGAAATATGTGATGTATTATTTATACTTGACTGACGATTGAATGTTCCTTTTTTGCTGTGACCCATATCAATTATAAGAGAAGGTACCCATTTATAAACAAGCATTGAAGTGTCCTTGACAGCGACCCATTTCTTTTCCCTAAAGTAAGGTTGGTCAAAAAGAATATCTAGATATATCTTGAACTAAAGGGACTATTGTAAAGGTGTTAATCATTAGAAAATGACATTAATTTAATACCCGTTTAATGAGCGATCCTTGAAACATGTCGTTTGTATATGGTGAAATCAGTTATATAGAGGTGGACAGTAAATAGGTGAGTCAATTAGTGAGCTTGCTATATGATAGTATTTGAGATAGTTGGGATGCTCTTCATACATTTCAAGCTAACACATTTCGAAATGGTAGGAGGATAAGTGAACCCCTTTATTACTGAAGGAAGGGATTTCTTAAAATTAGGACTTTAACTGTTTAACGACATTCAAACACAACAAATGTGTAGATCCTCTACAAAAGGAATGAACAAGAGAAAAATGATTAAATGCTGGTGAAATATTTATATTTTATAAGATTAATAATATATGCACCAAGGACGTTGTGATGGGTTTACGAATGCACTAACTGCAATCCACGACTACTGATTTTAATCATTTCGAATACTTCACTCAATATGTCTACAATCTGTAAAAGGCTTTTATGAAGTCAGTAATTACACAAATTAAACCACGTAAAAATTTTCGAAGGGACTGAAACATACTACTAGGGTTTTGTTACAGCGGAAATTGAAGTTAGAAAGACAATGAGCGGAATGGAAAATATCTTACCAGCTTCGAACCTGTTCATGTGATTTGTGAACTCTTTTTAGGTCTTCTTTGGCTCTGCTGCGTGTTTCAGAACGTAAACTTCTAGAAAACATGGAGACAATTGACTAGAAATTTTATTTGGTCAATGAAAAATTAGAAGTATAATCATATAAGCGTTTTCTGATAGGCAGGATTTTTGGCACTATAAATCGGACCACGAACGAAGAGTGGCTGTAAAGGGAAAAAACGATATCGTTCTGTTAGTTTTACATAAGTATGATAGTGTGGAAAAGCAATCGGTAAAGTATTGGTTGAAACATCTCCCTCAAAGGAGACTTGAAAAAACACTTGAACTACCCGACTTTCAGGAAACATAAGCAAAAACTAATCCAAAAAACCTGTAGTCAGAAAAGCGTATAAGGCTTGAACAAGAAAACACCAAATTTCGATAAGAATACTGAAAACGATTAGGTCAACAGTAAATGAGTCTGAACCTTCATATTTAGAATCAATAACATATAATTCCCCCTGCTCCAATCATTTTGGTTAGTCCACAAAAATCAGTACACTGATACATTATCGCCTAACTTTAGAAGTAGTGTCTACTTATATATATAGCCGTTAAGTCTACTAAATGTAAATGAGTCTCGGTCGCACGAATACAGCAGCACAAAAGACGTTGAGTAATATTACTTACGATTACGTGAAATTCTGGCTCGTAAACATTTGGTTTTAGTAGGTTTTTTATAACTTTTCGAGCTTGTAAACCCACCCCAGTAGACTATAAGATAATGTAGGTTTTTTTTGCGGAAATTCGACAACGCCTTAGCAAGGACTGAATGTATGGATATAAGGATACAATCTATATTTGTCGAAGATAAGATTATTTAACTTATTCTTGATGTTAGTAAGATTATCTGTGAGATCTGTTTAACGCTTATTAGCAATCTTTTAGGGCACCTAGAACGCTAGGGTTATAAATGACTTGAAGGGATGGAAAGTAGCAGACATCACTGAGTTGACTACAAAAATGGTCTATGATTATTTGACAAACTGAGATGCGAATAAGATTTTGGGAGACAAATGTGATTTTAAATGACTTGCCTTTATTAGTAATTGTCTCATTTTATAGAAAACGCATGTAATTAATGTAAGAGTGTGAACTTGGCTTTTGAGATCTTAGATATTACAATTATGCAACGCCTAAATGGGGCTCAGTAACAACGAAATAAGGAAACATAAACAGGAATAGTGTCTTGATCGTACATTGGCCAAATCTCTATATTAACGGCGAGCAATCATTTGAAATTTCTACTTAAATGGTGTTATTTAGTGTAATTCAATTTTATACTAACAAAACTTTGCCATACATGTATTTCTAGAAAAAGCATATTATTTATGACGGCTAATTTTTGATCCAGAATTATCTCGTCGAATTAAATTATACAAACGGCACAGTCCTGTTATCTGATGCTGAGTGGATGCGGTTTTACAAACAACTTAAATGGTGTTGACACTCATGGTACAAGTATTTCAGTGATTGAATACACCGCTTAGTCTTGTGATTTGTCTGGATCCATACATAGCAGCTGGGAAACAGTACGCTAACCGCTTTGCCTAAATTTACGATATGCACACACATCCTTTACTTTCATTTAAGTCATAAATGTCATATTTTTCTAACATTCCACTGCTTGTTTTATTCTCAATTTCTTTAGTGCACTACTACTGATTACGTCAATAATCTTATACCACTATGCTAATTGGAAATATAATAAGTGGAACTGATATATAGCTTACAAAACTTTTGTCAGACTGAAGTCGTGTTATTCTAAGCAATGCAATCGACATAATTTCGATTTATGCCAATATCCAGCCTTTTGAAATAATACCAAAAAGTACCAACATCAAAAAATAGCAACCTTAACAAAAACCTGGGGATAACAACTGATTAGCCATTGCTCACAACCATACTACTTTCCATCAATGCATAAGTTCCTATTTTACTGCTTGATTTATCTTGGAGAGGTCGCCATTAATGGAGTAGTATGACTGGAGGAGTCAAAGTCGAAAAATGTTTTAATCTATCTTTATATCTCTAATATTATTTAGTCCTGGCACATAAAACGCCAGTCACCATGAAAATATTGACTAAGGACATGTTCGACTCCTGTTTGACGTGAAACTATGCACGAATCCTACATTAACTGTTCTAACTCTGCAGCGCAGATTATTAAAAATTACTAAAATAGAAGACCGCATTATTATTACAGTGAGTTTAGAGTCGAATTAATATTAAATTTAGTTAGTAAGCTACAAGGGAAAAAAAATGGGACAAACACGACCAAACGCAGACATTTAAAGTCTATAGATTTCGATGGGATTTTGGGGGTTCATTAGTAAACACAAGTGAATTCAATGAGCGGACACGCTTCAAATAACTGACAAATTTCTAGCCAGTTCTACTACAAAACAAACTCCGTAAATGAATGGTTTGAAGAAAAAACAATACCTTCTACAAGTGCGTCTGTTCGAAAATGAGAGAAACGACATAAATCCGCCTTCAAACATGTGTTGTCTTCGCGAACCCTTATGAGGGTCCAAATACAATTTTAAAAATCCACACATTTCCGTTTTCATCACAAACTGATGTCAGCAATAACGCAAAAATGAGTGGATTTCATGAGAAAATGTAATGGACGTTTTCTGATTAGTTCTACGAAATCCAATGCCATTTAAGATTAAAATCTGTTCCACGACTAGATGCTAGTGTTTATTATTTAAAAACTTTGTTGATTTGCCTGTTATATACAACCTACGGCGGCGTACAGGTCCAACATCATTTCACTGTTGAGTTCTTCATCGTTTCAAAAGTTCTAAACAGTATAAAACGCCGTTTCTACTTCTCTTCATCTCCGATATTGCAATTAGAAACAGAAATCTAGGACTTATAACCAACAATGAACCATGTTCTTGATTCTCATTCGTTAGTTCGCATACAACACTTCGACCTTTACACCTACGACCTCCACTTACGTAGAGCAAAGTTCACTTTTCCGCCTCGACATTTATCAACTGTGAACTTTTCAGGTGGAATTGTTCAAATCCCATTGCTTTTGAAACAGAAATCGTTAACTGAATGCTTCAAAATAGCAATTAGCTACGTTGAATAATCCTAAAACACCGGAAGTTATAAGCTTCTCGTAAGGATGTAGTATATAACATATAACGAGTAAATCAGTTTCAGTTTGGGAAGGACAGGAGGCTCGATGGCCTATGTTAGTCCTGGCAATGGTGGTCTCTCAGTTGATCCAACTTTCTTTTAAAACAGTCGACGGATGGAGCCTCAACCACGTGCTGAGGTAATGAATTCCACTCGTTGATGATTCGATGGGAAAGTCGATAGTCAGCTGACAAGTAATTTGTTCTCGGCTTATGAACTTTTTTGGAGTGTCCTCGTAAATTCTCTGTTTTGGAAGACAAGAAAAATGAGGGCATGTTAGGTGCAAATTTATCACTAAGCAATTTGTAGACTGTAATCAAGTCGCCTCTAGTTCTGCGATATGACAACGGGAAAAGGTTCAGCTTGGCCAGTCGAGATTCATACGGAAGCTTCGCTATCCCGGGAACCAGCTTACTCGCCGTTCTCTGAACCTTCTCCAAAAGCTCACTGTCTTTTTTAAAGCAGGGGCTAGCCGCTTGTATGCAGTACTCAAGTTTAGGACGAACGAACACTGTATACAAAGTCAAAAACGTCTTAGCGTCGACATGACTAAAAGCCTTACGTATTGACCAAAACGTTCTAAAACTTTTGGCGGCTATTGCACGGCAGTGTGCAGTAGTCTTTAAGTCTTGACTAACGATAACTCCTAAGTCATTATATGTCTGGACGACAGGTAGCTCAGTGTTATTCATCGTGTATGTATCTGTGCCTTGATGACCGATATGCATCACAACACACTTGGAAGTATTTATCGGCAACTGCCATGTTTGAGACCATTCAGATAACTTCTTCAGGTCATTTTGAAGTTCTAAGCTATCACTCTTACATCGTATCGTTCTTCATATCTTGACATCGTCAGCATATAGCAAGACCGATGATGATAGGAGACGAGGAAGGTCATTTACATACAAGAGGAATAGCACTGGCCCCAAAACTGTACCCTGGGGCACTCCACTAAGCACAGTTTCCCAGCTAGACAACTTGGAGTTCACCCTTACTCTTCGTTGACGCCCAACTAAGAAGTCTTTTATCCACATCAATAAATTGCCTCCAATCCCGACATTTCTTAACTTATATAACAGCCGGTTGTGCGGAACTTTATCAAAAGCTTTACTGAAATCAATGAAGGCGACGTCTACAGGTGGCTTTTGGTCCTTAAGAGCACACCAGCTTTCACGAGCCACTAATAAGTTAGTGAGACAAGAATAACCTATTCTGAAGCCATGCTGCTTCTCCGAGAGGATCCGGTTTTTATCGAGATACTTAAAAAGCTCCTTCCGAATAATCTTTTCTAATATTTTAACAACCACACTAGTTAGGCTAACGGGGCGGTAGTTCTCAGGTTTGTGTTTCGTGCCTGTTTTGAAGACAGGACTTACTATGGCGTTTTTCCAGTCTTTCGGTAAACGACCCTGCGTAACGGATAGGTTAAAGCATGTACTTAAAGGGTTCGCAACGAAGTTAGATAATTCCTTCAGTAGCCTAGGATGTAATTCATCGGGCCCCGTGGATTTACCTATGTCAAGCTTATCTAGTAGACCAAAGACATCGAGTTCTTTAATGGTCACGCTATCCAGTGTATGTATGGGGGGATCTGTATACGCTGACGAGAAGGGCGCTTCTATGGTATACACGTTGCTAAAGTAGTTCGAGAACACTTGAGCCTTACCAAAGTCGTCCTCCACTAATGATGAAGCAGTACTGTCTCCCCATAGAGCAGGAATATTTCCTTTTCTCCTTGTCCTTTGGTTTATATAGGAATACAAGCGTTTAGGACATTCTATGGATTCCTTAACAATGTTTTCTTCGTACAATTTTCTAGACTTACGGAGGGTCGAGGCACAAGTATTCCGAGCCTTTCGATACTGAGATTTTGACTCATCAGTCCCT